ATATGGATATAATATTTAAGTTACTTAGGGGCCGACTGGTTGTGAATTTTAAGGCTTTAAAACTATTTTTATGTCTTAACAATATTATTTTTGCCAGTCAGGTTTTTTTACTTTATTTTTCTTAAAGTTCTAAAAGCCATTTTATTATTTCCTTCTTTATTTTTTCTTTTTTTCTAGAAACTATATTTCTTCTTCCTATAATAATTAGAATCTCTCTATAGATTTATATATCTTTTTCAAAAACAAAAATCATTTTCAAACCTTTTTTGTAAATTGATTATCAGCATTTTTCTTTCTTTTGACATCTACTTTTCTTCATAATTTAATATTTTCAATATCACCATTGTATTTTCTTATATTATAGTTATTAATAAACTTTATTTGTCACTATCTTACATATACATGGATCATATTGATCATCATATATTTATAAAAATTATATATAATAGCAAAAAAAATTCAACTTTAAAGTTATTTATGTTACAATCATATATGGTGACCAATCATCCCCTTAATTTTAAACTACGATCACAAAAATATAGTATACTAGTTGTTGACCAGCGCTACGCGCGGCCAGTTTATATTTTTTTTATATGTTGATTTTTTTTTTTGCAACGTATGTTTTGTTGGTTTTTATTGCTATAATTTTTTGTTATTCTATTTTTCATATGGGTTTTTTAAAGTTTATATTAGTTTAGTATTTGAAATGTTTATTAGTACTGTATTTGTTTAACTGTAAATTAGGCTCAATAGTAGGTGGTACAACCTTAAATTTCATAGGCCTTTAGTTCCTGTAACGCTAACAAACTGTTATAAAGTATCAAATTAAATAGCTCACCGTATGTATGCATTTAATAAGCTCCTCTTGTATAAAAGCAACATTATAGACTGGCATAGATATAGTTCTTTGCATTTCTATTGGCTTTCATATAATAGATATATTGGAGTGTGAATTGATTTTGTAGATGTATCATAATTGTTTTCTCTTTAAGAATAGCCCTTTTTAAAAAAGGTTGTTTTGTTGTGTGCATGTGAACAAAATTTGTTCTACTCACCATTGACGACTTGCTATTGCCACCCTATCATTTGACTCATGGTCGTTGTTTCAGTAGATGTTGAACTTCGCTAATTTTATATAATTGAGGTTGACAACTTGATCTTTTTTTTATTTTTTATTTTAGGTTGGTATTTGCATAGTATCAAAGTTTGGGTATTAAAAACCTGTCATGATGAATGAATGAATGAATTTTCAAATAGTTTAATTTATTCATGTGCATTATTATCTTTTTAAGTTTTAGTAATTTATTTTAAACATGTTTGACTACAATTCTTTCGTCATTATCTATTATGCACTCATTGCCTTTCGACATCTTCTTTATTTTCACGTTCTGTTGGCTCACATATAACATATATTAGACTATACTGATTTTCAAAACATATTATAACTATTTTTTCTTTAATTACTATCTTTCGATACTCAAATTTGGATTAAAAGCATTTGATTTAATTTATGAAATATCAAAAAAAAATATTTCTTTCCGATCATGTTATAAACTAATATTTCACTTTTAATTTGAATATTCATGTTTAAATATACAATTACATAAATATTGTTTTATTCTACCATGAATTTCAAAATTTATTTCCACTCTAAAATCCAGTAACACATTTAAAAGTTGAATTAATTATATTATTACCACTAATAAAAAATTATAATATTGTTTTTCTTATTTTAGTATTTCATTTATTTTATGGAGAATTTAAAAAATACCCCTTTTCGAATACCACTTTTTAAAAAGACCCCTCTTTCTAATTTTATCAAAAATTCACTATAAAATTTGAAATTTATCAAAAAATAATGTATAAACTTATATTTATAGACACAAATTATCTTTACATGTGTGTAAATTTATCTATATATCTCATAAGTACCGTATAAATACCTTTTAAAAATCATATAAAAAGCTTATAAAAACTTTGTAAACCTTTTTAAAACCTTATAAAAACCATATAAATGCCGTTTAGAACCTTTTAAAACCTTCTAAATATTTAGATTTAGTCTCCCAGTAGTAATAATGATCTTGATGTACCTTATCAACCATATAAAAATTTATAATTTTTCATATTTGAAAAGGGGTATTTTTGAAAATGGATAGAAAAGAGGGGTATTTTTAAAAATGGGTACACCAAAAAGGGTATTTCTAAAAACTTCTCTTTATTTTATATAATTTTTTTTTTATATAAATTTTCTATTAATAAGTAACATAAGTATGCATTAAATAAATATTTTAAATTTATTTTAGTATAAAATTAAAAATGTTTCTTAGGTGGATGCTTATGTGGCATCATGAGAAGAGAGAAAAGCTAACTTTATATATATAAACTAGCAGTTGACCCGCGCTCCGCGCGGGAGGTTTATAATTTTGTTTCGTTGATTTTTTATTCATATTGTGATATTTTATTATTATTTTTAATTGATTTTCAAAAAATATTATAATTATTTTCTCTTTAATTATTATCTTTCAATACTCAGATTTGGTTAAAAGCATTTGATTCAATTTATGAAATATCATTTTTTTTTTCTTTTTTATCATGTTATAAACTAATATTTCACTTTCATTTTTTTTTCCTCTTTATAATTTTATATATACAATTACATAAATGTTGTTTTAGTCTACCATAAATTTAAATTTTACTTCCATTCTAAAACTCAGTAACATATTTAAAATATTTTTAATTATGATCAATTTAAAATGAAAGTTGAATTATATTATTATCACTAATAAAAAAATAAAGTATTGTTTTTCTTATTTTCACATTTCATTTTTTTAACATAATTTATTTTTATTTATATAAACTTTCTATTAATTAAATAAGTAACATAAATATGCACTAAATGAATGTTTTAAATTTATTTTAATGTTTAAACAAAAATGTGGCTTAGGTGGATGCTTAGGTGGCATCATGAGAAGAGAGAAAAAGCTGACTTTATATATATAGATGATGAGTTAATAGTTTTAGTGTTTGTTTGATAGTTCAGAACCGATATGCTACGCACGTCCCACAACGGATATAAATTTTCTTCTTGTTACTAAAATTCTCTCAAAAAAATATTTACAAAATGTTTATAAAAATTCATTTGGAAATAATATATACCCTCTGTTCTATTATATAAGAGTTTTTGGCTAAAAGCATCAAGATTAAGAAACATTAAATATTATATCATTTAGTAAAATTCAACAAATAGAAAAAAATACTGCATATTTCAAATAGTCAGAAACTTCAGAAAAATCTTATAAAATGGTAAAAAGGCTTAAAAATCTTATACAGTAAAACCTCTATAAATTAATACTCGATAAATTAATACAATTTTCCGGTCCCAAGTTGGAACCAGTGTAATTTTAGACACATTTCGATAAAATAATAAGATAATAATTTTTTTGAAAATCCTTTGTAAATATATGGTCCCATCAATATTATAAATTAATAATTAGGTAAAAGTTTCAAAATATATGTATATATAGACACATTATTTTTTGTTAGATTTTATTTCTAACATTTTACTATATGAAAAATAGTTAGCATTCTCTTTTAATACATAATAATTATTATTTTATTTGTAATTGATTACATAAAATACTAATTATCATGATTAAATCTTTTTTTAAATATTGTTTTGAAAATATTTTCCAAATTAGGAATATCTCTCCATAAATTAATAATTATTAATTTATCGATAAATTAATATCTCTATAAATTAATAGATTTTCATGGTTCCAACATTATTAATTTATAGAGGTTTTATTGTATAAAGGAATAGAGGAACTATATATATATTATATAAGATTTTGTGGTAGAATCGTTAGAAAATCTTATATATATGTGTTGTGGTAGAATCGTTAGAAAATAATATATATATATATATATATATATATATATATATATATATATATATATATTGTTGGTTGAATTATTTGAAAATAATTGAGATAAAGGCTATATTTTTATTTTATTTTTATCTCAAAGAAACCAAAAACTTTTTTTTTTGTGTTTGGTGTAACGAAAGACTATTTTGTGGAACACATGTAACCAAAGACTAAACAACCGACACTTATTAATCAAAACAAAAAGGAAAAAAAAAGGAAGCGGGCAATTGATGGACTAAAATATCTTGTACCCTTTGACTCCTTCTTCTATTTTTCTAAGGGTTTGACCAAAGGGAAAAAAAAAATTTAATTAAAAAAATTGAAACTTGGTTAAAATACAAACGTGTATCCTCACTAAAATAAAACAATTACAGATCCAACCAGCCTATATCCGAAAACCCATATCACTATCAGATATCCATCGGATCTTTTACCTCTTTGTCTTCCTCTTCATCGTTTTGAAAAATCAAAAGTTCCCCAAACCCTAAGTGTTTTGAAAAAACTGAAAATCACAAAGAGTTCGAGTATAACTAAGGACAACCCGAGATAGGGTAAGTCAAAACCTTTAATTCTTTGGGTATTTTAAGTTAGTTCCGCTTGAATGTTATCAATTTAGGTGTTCTCGATTTAGGTTTTGTCGATTTAGGTGTTGATTTCGTTTATTACTCGAGTATGTTGTAATTAGCGGTTGTTGGTTTTGTGTGAAGGAGAAGAGAAGAATGGTGCGTACAAAGAACACAAGCTTTAACAAAGAAACATATCCAGTAAGTGAAGTCGAAAGCCAACAGATGCAATCGTAGAAGAAGATGAGACTCGTCGAGATGATTCAGAAAACACAGAGTCAAATCCGGAATCAGATTCTGGGGATTCAACGGTATGTACAACTTGGATAGAATAGTACAACTTGTGCGAACTCGTTTTTTTACTAAGAAATTGAAAAGGTACAACTTAGGAGAACTTAGTATAACTAGTTTATTTCAATTCAAAATTCAAAAGGTACAACTTGGGAAAACTTAGTATAACTATGTTGTTTTGTAGGAGTCCGAGGAGGAATCCGAGGAGGGAACAAAAGTAATGCAACCGGTGAACATGTACTTCAATATGTCCGAGTACATGAAGCCATTCAAGCTATCTGCTAAGTGTTATATCACAAGGACAGTGGACTTCTTGAGAGCTCACCTTAAGTCCCATGAGTTGGACTGGTTCCTAGGACACCCGCAGTTCAAACACTTCTTCCATATGCCGAATGATGCCAATCACAAATTGATGGGTATGTGGATGTTGCTTCTCCGGACGGCGTCTTTAGAGAAGAAAAATGAATGTTGGTTCATAGTAAATGGTACTCCCATCAGATATTCTCTCAAAGAAATGGCACTGATTTCTTGCTTTTGTGTTGTGTATAGGTTCTTGCTTTTGAGGCAATTCCTGTTCTTAAGGAAAATTTCCGAGAAGGTGTAAGTAATGCACATGCACACCGTCATTGTCCTCGGATGTGCAAGATGAAATTTAAAGCAAGTAAAATGAAAGGGTTTTCAATGAAGGAAATTTATGACAAATTGGTACAACTAAGGTTAGCAAGTCCATACTTATCCTATTCATTTATTTTTGGTATTACTGGGTTGGTTTGACATTACAGTAAAACCTCTATAAATTAATAATGTTGGGACCATGAAAATCTATTAATTTATAGAGGTATTAATTTATCGATAAATTAATAATTATTAATTTATAGAGAGATTTTCCTAATTTGAAAGTTTTTTCAGAAAAATATTTAAAAATGAGATTTAATCATGATAATTAGTATTTTATATAATCAATTACAAAGAAAATAATAATTATTATGTCTTGAAAGAGAATGCTAACATTTTTTGATATAGTAAAATATTAGAAATAAACTCTAACAAAAACTAATGTGTCTATATATACATATATTTTGAAACTTTTACGTTATTATTAATTTATAATATTATTGGGACCATATATTTACAAAGGATTTTCAAAAAAATTATTATCTTATTAGTTTATCAAAATATGTCTAAAATTACACTAGTCCCAATTTGGGACCGGAGAAATTTATTAATTTATAGAGATTATTAATTTATCGAGTATTAATTTATAGAGGTTTTACTGTATATTGTTCTATTTTCATAGGATATTGAAAGTATTTTGACTCCATCATCACGTGAGAAACGTCTTTTAGGTCGTGTCATGGATGAAGAGAGTCGCTATAATGATGTAGATTATCCCGTTGTTGATGGTTGGACCAAGTGTTTAATTGATGAAGAGAAGTCAATATGGTTTGAAGAGCTTTACAACCAAGATTTGGCCACCCGGGAGAATCCGGAAGATGTGAATCTGAAAAATGTGATTTCGGAAAATGTAAGTCTGGAAGATGTGAACCCAGTGGCTCCGGTGAATTTGGCTCAGCTAGGAGCTAGATTGGTTCAGGTAGAAGAACAAGTGAAGCAAGGGTTTAGGGAAATTATTGAGAAGGTTGATAGTCTGGATAACAGAGTTAAATCTGTGAAATCATATGTGAGATGGGCCTCAGGTGAAAATGAATATTATACGAATGAAGGTGTTGGAGATACGAATGAAGGTATGAATGAAGGTGGCAATGGAGATATGAATGAAGGTGACAAGGAGCAAGCTGATATGGAGCAGGCTGAGAAGGATAAGGTTGAGAGGGAGCATGCTGAGAGGGAGCAGGCTGAGAAAGAGCAAGCTGAGAGGGAGCATGCTGAGAAGGAGCATGCTGAGAGGGCTAAGGCCGAGAAGGCTGAGAGGGCTAAGCCGGCTAAGACCGAGAAGGCTGAGAGGGATAAGGCCGAAAAGGCTAAGACCGAGAAGGCTGAGAGGGATAAGGCCGAAAAGGCTAAGGCCGAGAAGGATAAGGCTGACAAGGAGCAAGCTGATAAGGCTGAGAGGGCTAAGGCCGAGAAGGATAAGGCTGACAAGGAGCAAGCTGATAAGGCTGAGAGGGCTAAGGCTGAGAAGGATAAGGTAGACAAGGAGCAAGCTGATAAGGCTGAGAGGGCTAAGGCCGAGAAGGATAAGGCTGACAAGGAGCAAACTGATAAGGTTGAGAGGGCTAAGTCTGACAAGGAGCATGCTGAGAAGGAACAAACTGAGAAGGAAAAGTCTGAGAAACCCGAGACCGAGAAGGAGAAGGTTGATGAAGAGAAAGCACAACTTGGTACAACTGATGAAGAGACAGAACAACTTGGTACAGTTGAAGAAGAGAAAGAACAATTTGGTACAGTTGAAGAAGAGAAAGAACAACTTGGGACAACGGAAGAAGGCCGAGAGGAAGATGTTGAGATGGAACATGGCGAGAAAGAACAAACTAAGGAGAAAGGAGAAAAGAGGGAAAGAGAAGAAGTTGTTGATGCTCACCAAGGTAAAAGGGTGAAGATCATAAGCAAGACGAAGGGAGCGACTGTGGTCATAACGAGTCCTATTCAGACAAGACAAAATGCGAAGAAGGATAATTGATGATCTATTCTAAAGTTGGGTTTTTGAGTCATTTTATATGTGAACTCTTTGTATTGGTTTATGGATTGATGTGTTTTTGGATGTGTTTTGAACTATTCTAGTAAGTTATATGTTGTTTGTTAAGTTTCTGAGTTCCCATTATACAACTGCATTTAAAAGATCAACTTGGTAAAACTACATAGTAGTTGTACCATTACAAAATACTAGTTTTACAACCAAAAATTACAACCCGAATACACAAAGTAAGTTCTAAGTTACCAACAAAGCTAAGCCAATAAGGAAAGGGGAAAATTACAATCAAACCAAGGAAATCAACCAACTAGTTTTATACTTAGTTGTCCAACTACGAAGAACAAGTTATACTTAGTTGTACTACGAAGAACAAGTTACACTTGATTGTACCATATTCCCAGCCCTATCACAAGAAGACAACCACAGAAAACGAGTATACTCAGTTTCTTAATTTCCTTCATATCTCTCATCCTTTCCATTTTCATAATTGTAACTTCTTCCTCTAGAACACCAACTTGAAAATCCAATTGTACTACCTCATCCACCAGTGCTTCATCAACCCACTTAAAGGCATGTGCATCGTTCACAAGCTACATAAAAAATAAAAAATTTGAAGGAAAAGTTGGTAACTAAATCGCAAATACAATAGTGATAAATCAGTTTTACCCTTCTATCATATGCATATTCACACCGGTAGTAGCGACGACACGGATTTGGTATGGATCGAGAGATTATGTCAATTATTGGTGACCCACAATGACACTTTTTGGGAATTCCAGGGAACCTTCGTCGGTTGGAAGAATTACCACATAAGATTCCCGATGCTCCAGATTCGCAACTCATTCTCAGAAATTGCAAACCCAAAATAAAAATACGAAATCGCAAACCAAACCAGAAAGGAAGAAGGATAAGAAGTGAAGAGTCGAGAGAGAGGACAGACAGTAAACCCTAGCTATACCCGATTCCCAATTCCCTCTTTCAATTTCAATTTGAAATAGAATTTTTAAAAAAATTCGGAAAAATAAAAATAAAAAATAAAAATAAAAAGTAAAAAAGGACCAAACACAACAAACACGTGATCCACATTAGACACGTGTAGCAGCCAAAAGACACATGTGTAGCCGCCAAAAGACACATGTGTAGCCGCCAAAATGCACTAGTTGTACCAAAGTTACAAGTTGTACTCGTTTTGGCAAGTTTTACTTTTTCATTTTTTTTGTTCTAATTAGTTATCCAATGTTTAAAATAAATAATTTTAGTTGTACACATGATTTTCATTAATTGAGGTACATATACCACATGTACATGCCTAAATATTTTTGAAAAGATTTGTTTCTTCGCTTTTCTAATTATATGTTGTTTGCAATGAGAAAGTGACCCTTAATGTGTAAGGTATTTCTTGATAAACTTAGAATATGATGATATCTATAGTGAAGTATAATAATAAAAATCATGATTCCTTATTATATATATATTGGATAACATGATGAAATTATAATTCAATACATATTTATATTTATTAAGTTTTCTATATTTAATTCCAATTCACGTTTATAAAAAAATCAAATAAATCCTGATTATTTGATTAATTAAAATAAATCCTTATTTTCGATTATTTAAATATTTTTTAAATATCACAGTATAGATTTTTATTTAAAAATATATATTAATTTAAATATCATTAAAGCAAGTTGACTTAAGGAAGTCCAAAAATCAAATTCAAATTATTCAAGTTGTATCATAACAAAAACAAGTTGTACCTAATTGTTCAAATAGGATATTACATCAAAATACAATCAATCAACTTTGGGAACCTTGACTCTCAAACCAGCTTGCGATGGTAGATTTCTTCTTCTTGCGTCCATGTTCTCCTGTTGATTTAATCCTCTTTGTTGGTTTCCTTCCTCTTTTTATGACATAAAACTTAGGAAAGACAACCAAAGCACGCACATTGTCCGGAACGATCCACATAGACATGATAGGAACTGGATATATCGTCCTTGAATATCCTAATGCCCACTGCTCCATCCAATAATACTTACTGCACAGCTCATGCAATTGGATCTCATTGATCTCATGACCAGCGTTTTTTGCTGCTTCCATAGCCACATCAATAGCGTGCAAATACGGATATCTATCAATATCAAATTGCTTGCAGTAGCAAGTTTTGTTTTTCAGATCAACCACATAACTACTACCATCAACTCCAGTCACACTGTATTCGTGAAAATAGCTGTTTAGTTCAGTCACCGGTAAGAGCTTTGCGTCTGAACATCTATCGTGCAACAACTTCTCAACAAAAGGGACTAACTTCTGCTATATTGTTGTCTCTATAGATATTTTCCTATATTTATTAAACCATTCAGCTAGTTTGGCAACAATCGCATCTATCATTGGTAGTAACGCGTATGCCCTTAAGAATCTAAAGACACCATTAATCGATTCAACTGTATTAGTTGTATCAATGTTGTATCTAGCTCATGGAAAGAAACATCGTGCCCATTTATGTTGTCCTATGTGATTATCAAGATAAGTACCTGCAGCTGGAAACCTTTTAATGAAATCAGCATAGAGTTTCTCAAACTCAGACTCGGTGTAAGCCTTCGCAACTTGCATGAACGTCGTCGCAACTAGATCTCTGTTCACGTTCTTACAGCTCAGTTTAACATTCTGAGATAAGTGATAAATACAATATCCATGGTGAGACAACGGGTACACCGTACTTATTGACATGATCAAGCTTTGATGTCTATCAGAACAGAAGACCAACTCAGTAAAATCTGGTATAATTGATTTTAACTTACTGAAAAACCAAGTCCAACTTGCATTATTCTCACTGTCAACTACACCAAATGCAATTGGATAATGGTGGTGATCCGGATCTTTAGCTGAAGCCACGATTAGTACTCCACCATATACATTTTTAATACTGGTTGCATCCACAATGATCACCTTTCTCATGGAATTGAAGCCTTCAATGCACGCCCCCAAGGCGAAAAACAAATATTTAAACCTCTGGGTTTCATCCAATTCAACAAATGAAACTCTACCTGGATTCATCTTCTCCAACATGTGCATATAACAATAAACCAACTTATAACTATCCTCTGCGGTACCACTAAGGTCAGCTGCAGCTAGCTTTTTCCCTTTATTTGCGGTTGAGTATGATACTTTGATACCAACTTTTGATTGAACCAAAGGAATCAGATTTTTGGAGTTGGAGAGTCTATCAGACAAGGGAAATCTTCACGCAAAACAGATGCAACTAAATGAGATGTGCCTCTCCTTTTTTTACTCATTGTACTTGTTTCTGACCGTAAGCATGTATGTATCTTAGTGTAAGTTCTGACCGGAAAATTGTCTGCATTCCAATTCCTTGCTGCTCGTAAAGCCCACTTGCAACCCTTTCTAAATTATGAGCATTTAAGCACAAAAAACATAGGATCCGACTTAATTATAACAAACTCAAAACAGTTCTTGTGCGCAGCTTTTTCAACCAAATCTTTAATTACTTGCTTGCTTTCAAATTCTTGCCGGATAGTCACATCCAAACCATCTTCCCACTCACGCTTTACAACCGGTGTAATCTCTGCAGCAGGTGTGATCTCAGAAGGTGTGATCTCAACAACATGTGTGCTTAGGTCGTGATGTTTGGTGAGTTGATCTTCTTAGCACTGGTTCATTTTCAACTGGTTCGTTATCTGAAAAATCAACACTTCCTTCTTGATCACTTAATTCATCACCACCTTCTCATTCACTTAACTCATCTCTATCATGGTTCTCGTCGTCACTTGCTTCTCTCCCTACAACAGCTACATCATCCCGTAAGCCATTATTCCCAGAATCTCCAAAACCAACCGTGAACATTCCCGACTCAAGTGAAGAAGTTTCTCTAGAGCTGCTCCTTCGCCAACCTTTGTTCTCATCAAAGACAACATCGCGACTCATTACTACCTTTCTGGTTGTTGGATCAAGTAACCGATAAGCTTTTGATCCCGGTTCCGTTCCAAAATGCACCAATACACGTGACCTATCATCCAATTTTGTGAGATGCTAAGATTCAATCTTTGCATAACCAATGCACCCAAAAACACGCAAGTGTACAATGTTTGGCTTTCTTCCTTTGTATACTTCGTATGGCGTTTGATGAGCTAAAACTCTTGTTGCGACATGATTGATCGGATACGTAGCATGCCTCACCACTTCTCCCCATAAGTAGTTAGGAATGCTCATGTTTTACAAGATACTACGAGTCATCTCCATTAAAGTTCTGTTTCTTCTTTCAACAACGCCATTTTCTTGAGGCGTATAAGGAGCAGTTAAGTGTCTCTTGATTCCGGCGTTATGACAAAAGCTTTGAAACTCTTGAGATGTGAACTCTCCACCCCTATTTGTTCGGAAAGTCTCTATTGTTTCTCATGTTTCTTGCTCAACAAGCCTCCTAAAAATCTTGAATATTCCGAAAGCCTCGCTTTTGTCTTTCAACAGAACAGTCCACATGTAACGAGAATAATCGTCAATTAACACAAACACATACCTATTGTTTGTTGTAGTGGAAGGTGTAATAGGACCACATAGGTCTCCATGGATCAGTTCAAGTGTTTGTGAAGCACGGTAGGATGTTTCTTTGGGAAAAACATGTCTTACTTGCTTCCCAAGTAAACAAGAGGCACACGTTTCTTTCTCGATGGAGAGATTTGCAAACCAACGACTATCTCCTTTCATTCTAATATCACACCCTGATTCAGTGGCTTGACCAAGGCTTATGATGTTAATTTTTAAATCTAGTATGAAGTAGACATTCATCAACATCTTTTTCTCCATTGATAAGAAACTGAACAGAACCTTTTCCTTTAATGTCGATGCGAGGGTCATCACCAAACCTAACCTTTCCTGTTACATTCTCATATGTTTCTGAAAAATATGCAAGGTTTCCGGACATGTGATTGCTAGCTCCATTGTCCAAAGACCAAATATTGCTTCCGGACATGTGATTGCGTGTTTTTGGGTGCATTGGTTATGCAAAGATTAAATCTCAGCATCTCACAAAATTGGATGATAGGTCACGTGTATTGGTACATCTTGGAATGGAACTGGGATCCAAAACTTATAGGTTTGTGTTTCAAATTTATTTGGTGTTACATTCCTCTCATTGAGATATACAACCTCATGCATCATTAGTTCGTCGGATTCATGAGTATCTTCTTTAATATCTTCTTGAGTCTCTTGGAGTTTAAGTAGTCGATCAGGACAATTAGATGTGTAATGTCCGAGCTTATCACACCGGTAACATGTAGTCTTAGAGGTATCACGTTGTTGGTGATTGTATCGGCCTCGTCCCCTTCCGCGTCCAGAGAATCTTCCACCACGTCCTCTTCCTCGCGTCGTATCATAGGTACCTTGATAAGATTGTGAGTTCATGATGGCATACATGAGTTTGCCTTGCTCATTCGATGAGTCTTCTTCTTCTTCTTCTTCAAAAATTCTTTCTTCGTAATCTTTCAGCCGCCCTACAATGCCTTCAAAACTTGTTTTATTGAGAGCAAAAACTTTTTCAAGAGCAGCAACAATATGAATGTATCTCCTCCGAGGTAGAATTTTGAGAAACTTCTTCACAAGCTTTGATTCTTCAATAATTTCACCTAGAGTGGCGGATTTTGTGGATAATTCTGAAAGTTTACCAACAAAATCATCAATTATATCAGTATCTTTCATCTTCATCCTCTCAAAATCGGACATCAAAGTTTGTAGGCGAGTTTCCTTGACACGAACAGCCCCAACATGTCTTGCTTTAATCGTATCCCAAACAGCCTTAGAAGTATCAAGATCTCCAACTTGTAAGATGAAAGTTTCAAGGATGGATTGGAAAAGAAGAGCCCTAGCCATGTCGTTCTTCTCACCATTGTCAGATCTTGGATCAATAGTATCCCAAACCTTATGAACCTTGAGGAGGACCTTCATGTGCATGAACCAGACGGTGTAGTTTGTAACTGTGAGCATCGGACATTGGATGGACAAGGAACCGCCTTGCTTTGGTCTGTTCGGAACAACAACGATCTCGGCCATGATTGTTTATGCAAGGTGTGGATGTTGTAAACAAGGATTTTTGTGCTCTGATACCAAATCTTGTTTAAAACACCTCAAGAGATTTATAAAGAACTCACTTCTTTATTGCTTTAGAAAACTTCCTCAAAAACTAAAGCTCTCAATCTCTTTCAACTCATACATAATGTCATAACTTGACCTCTCTATATATATGAAAAACCTTAAGAAATTTCCTATAACAAATAGGATATATAACTTATTCTTAAACTTCTAAACTTCGTAATCCATAACTCTGTAGGAAGCTTTAGCTTGCACCTCAAGCTTTCTTTAACTTCTTCAAGGTTAAGTCAACAAGTGTCCATGGAGAGTCTATTGTTCATATGAGAAGAGTAAACACAAGATGTAAATAAAAGTTGATGTCAATGAGCATATATGTGTTAGGTATGGCTATTCGAAGATGTTGAAGAGGTATACTATTTCATTTTTGTTTGAGGAACGTTTGAGACTGAATCCGAAGATCACAAAATATGAAATGTGTGCTGAGATTAAGAGGGAATACAACTTGGAAGTGACTCCAGACCAATGTGCAAAGGCGAAAACCAAAGTGATGAGTGCAAGGAAGGTAGTCATGAGACCCTTTTTCTCGAATCTAGGATTACCAAGTAGAGGTTTTGCAGCAGAACAAAGACTCATAATTTGAGATTGAGATAATCCCAGTGCCAGTTATTGGAATTAAGCAAAGGTTTTACATGTTGTATATTTGGTTTAAATCACAAAAGGATTCTTGGCAACAAACATGTAGACCCATCATAGGAGTAGATGGAGCTTTCTTAAAATGGGATATAAAGTGTCATGTTGTAGCTACAGTGGGAAGATATAGGGATAATAGGATTGTTCCTCTTGCTTGGGCTGTTGCAGAAATAGAAAATGATGATAATTGGGACTGGTTTATGAGACATCTAGCTGCAAGTTTGGGCCTTGTTGATATGAGGACCATAAGTATCATTTCTGACAAACAATCAGTAAGTCTTGTTAGTTGTTACTTGTTTTGTTTTTGTTACTTGTTTCTATAAGCATCGACATCTAACCCTTGTTTCTTTGTATTTTGCAGGGTTTAGTGAAAGCTATACACAACATACTTCCACAAGCTGAGCATCAATAGTGTGCAAAACACATAATGGACAATTGGAAGAGAGACAGTCATGATATAGAACTTCAGCGTCTTTTTGGAAGATAGCATGAGCTTATACTACTAGAGACTTCAGGGATCAGATGCTTGACCTAAAGAATTATAATCCTCAGGCTTATGCATCTCTGCAACTAACCAGTTCAATGACTTGGTCAAGAGCTTTCTTCAAGATTGCCACTTACTGTAATGAAAACCTCAACAATCTCAGTGAGTCTTTCAATAGGACTATCAGACAGACTAGGAGAAAGCCTTTACTGGATATGCTTGAGGACATTAGGAGGCAATGCATGGTTAGGAATGCAAAGAGGTTCATTATAATGTTTATGAATGGTTTGTTTTTGAATGTTTATGAATGGTTTGTTTTTGAATGTTTATGAATGGTTTGTTTTTGAATGCTTAGACCATGCACATTGGTTTGTCCCATTGGTTTGTCCCACTAATTTTTTATGTATATTTTACATGTAAGACAATTGATTTATTTTTAAGGTTGAGCATTGGTGTATTTTGATATTTTGTCCCACCATTATAAATATCATATATTTTGTTTTTTAAATAATTATTTAATTTGAATTACAAAAGGAAAAACATATTAAATATTGGATTAATATTAAACATATTAAAATTACAAAGTTACAAACAAGGATTAAGCTTGTAAACATACAATAAAGACAGTAAAAACATTTTACATAAGCATAAAAAGATTTTACCGACATTTTATTGATCGACATTCTTAGAATTTTGGAAATTAATCTTCATTATCTTGAAGATGTCCAAAATTAGTCCAAATATGGTCAATCAAATCATCTTTTAATTGTTGATGGGCTTGTTTATCACGAACTCTTGTTCGTCTTGTAATCGTTGTCCCGATATTTGAACCCACTCCGGCGGTGCCAACGGTATATGTTTGATCGACATCTTCTCCGTGTTGAAATTCAGAAACGTTACGGAGATTGTACGTATGGCGTTCATCTTCCACAATCATATTATGGAGTATCATGCATGCTTTCATCACATTTGCCATTTTGTTTTTATCCCATAAAGGAGAAGGATTTTTAACCACGGCAAATCTAGCTTGCAAGACTCCAAAGGCACGCTCAACATCTTTCCGCACTGCTTCTTGTTTTTTAGAAAAGAGAGAATTTTTCTTACCTTGTGGAAGTCGGATAGATTGAATAAAAGTCGCCCATTTTGGATAAATACCATCAGTGAGATAGTATGCCAAATTGTACTCCCTTTCGCTGACAAAGAAATTAACTTCTGGAGCTTGACCGTTTATAATGTCATCAAAAACATTAGATCGATCTAGAATATTAAGATCGTTCATAGTACATGGAGCTCCAAAGAATGCATGCCAAATCCAAAGGTCATACGAAGCTACCGCCTCCAATACGATTGTAGGTTTTCCGGTTGATCTTGAATACATGCCTTTCCAAGCAGTGGGACAATTCTTCCACCCCCAATGCATGCAGTCTATGCTCCCTACCATCCCAGGGAATCCACCTTGTTCATTTTGATGGAGTAGTCGTTGTAGGTTTTCCTGTGTGGGACGTCGTAAGTATTCATCGCCAAACAATTAGATTATTGAAGCGGTAAACTCGTGCAAACATTTTTGAGCTGTTGTAGCTCCAATCCGTACATACTCGTCCACCGTATCATTTGCACCGCCATATGCCAATTGACGAATTGCTGCAGTGCATTTTTGTATTGGTGAAAGACTAGCGCGTCCGGCCGCATCTTGGGTTTGTTGAAAATATTGGATTTTGGTAGATAGACGGTGCACAATATGCATGAACAATGGCTTGTTCATTCGAAAACGTCGACGGAATAAATTGTGCGGGTATGTTGGAGTGTCACTAAAATAATCATGCCAAAGATTATTGTGGCCTTCTTCACGGTTTCTTTCGATTAAAACTCGTTTCTTTCGTAAGGTGGGTTCTTCTAAGAGATTTAAATTTAATGGAAATTTTGATAATGTGCATCAAATGCATCATCCTCATCTCTTTGGTAGTGGAAATGATTTGAATATGATACCATATTATTACAAAAGCAAGTGAGAAAGGGAGATTGGTATTGAAAGTGAAGGTTTGTGTAGAAGAAATAAGAAAGAAGGTTTGTGTAAAAGGCAAAATATAATAAGGTTTGTGGAAGAAGAAAGAAAGAAGAAGGTTTGTGTAGAGATAGAAGTGTGAAAGAAGATAGAAGTGTTAAAGAAGTGTGAAAGAAGAAGGTTTGTGTAGAGATAGAAGTGTGGAAGAAAAGGTTTGGTTTGTGTTCATTTATAGAAGTGTTGAATCGTTTGTTGCACATTCATGTTTATATCAATCCCGTGAACCGAAAAGAGATGATAATAATTAGAAAAGTTATGCATAGAGACAAAATATACAAAATTATACATATCCGTGAACATAAATCAACTTGGTTCAATTCAAAAATTATACAAACCCGTGAATAAATACATTACCCGTGAATAAATACATTACCCGTGAATAAATACATTACCCGTGAATGCATAGAGATGAAATAAATCATATCCGATTAAAAATATCCAGTCAGTACAACAAAAACAGCAAACCCGTGAACCTTACCACAATGTCATTACCACTACACAACAAACCCATGAACCTTACCACAATGTCATTACCACTACACAACAAACCCGTGAACCTTACCACAATGTCATTAGCACTACACAACAAAACTTTCTTACTTATACACTACCAACACTGCTAAAACAAATGCTGCAACAGCCATTAGACCTACAACCATCTGAACTCCACTTCTAAACCTAAGGTTTTTCTTACCTAGATCAGAGACTAACAATTCTAAGTGATGGAGCTTCTGATCAGTTTCAAAGTGACTCACGTAGTTTAAGGCATCAACCTTCTCGGATAAGACCTCATACATTCTGTCCAAGTCTCTCATCTCTTCCATTTCAGCATCCTCCCACCACTTGTGGAGATGCATATCCCCATCTTCCACATTTTGACATGTGAAGAACCTACCATCACATTTACACAACCAGATAAACCGTTAAAGACTCAGTACGTATAGAATTATAACAGAAGCATAGTGAGACAAGTTAATAGAATACCTTCTGCCTATATTATTTGGGTTGTAGCAAGTACTTAGAGTAGGCCTCCCACCACAGTAGCACTGCTTTGGGAAACCAAACTCTACCTCAGGTTGAAGAGGGTATTGACTCGCCTGAGTTTGTTGCAAGTGACTTTCAACTTCATCCATCAGAATAACTCTTGCATTGATCAAGTGACTGTCAGCATCATCCATTAGAATCAAGGCCTTTTCTTCTTTGTCTTCACTGTGGTCATGATGGTCGTATTGGTCAGAGGAGGAAGGCTATGAATAACTGTAGTCCTGCCCCATCTGATATTTCAACCTCAAAAAACAACCATTAAACAGTCATTAGAAGACACTTCAAGTTTAAAAGTTTAATAAACAGAATCAGAAACATAACAACATTCTTATATATCATGTTTGTCATACAAGAACAGAAACATAAAGACATTATAACCAAGCCGAGTACACATTCAGTTTATAACAGACACACAACATCACCAAAAGAATAGTACACATTCATACAATAACAGAAGACATCATCACCTAAAGTCGAGTACACATTAATAGAATAACAGAAACACATGCAAACTTAATTAGTAAAGGTAATAAGAGATATGAAATATCAGAAATACTGAGAAACAATCTTCTTCTTGATAAGTTCATCACTCTCAGAAAGAGGTTCCTTCTTAGCCAGTATTGTGTCAAGGATAGCAAGCTTCTGAAGCTTCTCAGTTTCAGCCATCTCCACCTTCTTGATTTCCCACATGCTTTGATACTCAGCTACTGCCTTCCCTTGACCATTATTCTTCTTTGCCTTAGCAGCCTTGACCCCTTCAGGTCTAATCTCACAGTCTTCACCCGTGCTAGTTGTTGAATGTGAACTATCTTGTTGAGGTTTCCTCTTTGATCTTCCTTTGGGTGTACCACTATTGATAGTGTTCAGACTAAGCCACTTCTGTTCATACCTCAATAGGCACCAACAATGCTCCAAAGTGAACATGCTCTTGTGGTTAGAGTAGTAGATATCGTGTGCGACCTTCAGAACATCATTGTCCGAATGACCACTACTATTGAGCCTTTCTGCAGTTGCATAAGCACCAGCAAACTTGTTCAAATAATCATTGATTTTGTGCCACCTTTGCTTGCAGTTAACATTCAAGCATAATACTCTCCCACCCTCTGCCAAAAACATCCACCCTTCTGTTGATTTACAACAACTATGTCCTTTGAAGTATTGAGCCAAGCAGAGATAAGTACTGCATCATCAGTATTGTTCCACTTCTTTCTCTCTTTGCGATCCATTGGAGTTTCTTCAGATGTAGGTGCGGCAGCTGATTGCTGTGAACTCCAAATAGGTAACTCAGAAGCAAGGTTGTAGGCAGAAGGAGGGAAACTCTCATAAGAAGAGTTTCCTTGGGTATGAGTTTCTTGTTGACTGTTAAGAAGGTCTAAATAACTTGATGAGTGGGGATATGGATTGTAAGAATCCATATCAAAGGGAGATAGTTAAAGATAAGTAAAGGTAAGAGGTTTGAAGAAAGAGGACATATAGAATATGGTCGACAAGAGAGAAGCTTGCTATCAATGGTGGAGAAGAAAGAGGACAGATATAAGATGGTTTGAAGAAAGAGGACAGATAGAATATGGTCGACAAAAGAGAAGCTTGCTATCAATGGTGGAGAAGAAAGAGGACAAATATAAGATGGTGGAGAAGAAATATGACAGATAGAATATGGTCGAGAAGAGAGAAGCTTGCTATCAATGGTGGAGAAGAAAGAGGACATATATAAGATGGTGTAGAAGAAAGAGGACAGATAGAAGATGGTAATAACTCATTACTAGCTAACTGCATATGTCTAATCACCAGTTTTTTACATTTAACTCTGCTATAACATTCAGATTTTATAAGTTGTACTACCTACATATCAGTCAATGCTCATAGCTAGAACTTAACTACAACATCATTATAGCAAAACACGCACCCTAAATAGCAAGTACATGCAATAAATCAATGTCATTATGATAACTAGCTACTACATAACCTTTTACAACTATTTGCCTCAGTCAATCACCTAACTAGGCAGTAGATAAGTAATTTATACTTTCGATTTATATCACTTTCTTTAATGCTAAAGTAAGCAGCAAACCGCAAACATGAACAACATGGCTAACACCTAACATGAGCAACAAAAATATTACAGAAACAACATAGCAAAAACAACCAGCAAACAACATGTTTAACTATTACAGTTAACCAAACAACTTGCCTAACTAAAACAATTTCTATCAGTCCATGACCTTGTACTCCCTATTACACGCAAACAACATAGAAGAGCAAAGCCTACAGTATAACAGTTTCACATTGCAAACCACAAGTATATCTCTACCAACTTAACTTAACTAGCAAAGAACAATTATATCAGTTGGAAAATGCTCAATCATATCAGAATTGCATTTGGTAAAAGGGAATGACATTTACCTTTAAATGTCGATAAATCTGGTGCTTATCAGTCCACTTAGTTCACCAGACCTACATGAATACAAGTTACAATTTCATCATTACATATCCAAAGGGAAACCAACCAAATACCATCTAACCTAACAGAACATGTGAACAACTTGCTGAGATACCTTTTGGAAACCAAAGCATCATCATACCTAAATAAACACTCGAACAGTTTCAATGAGTAAATCGGAAGTTCATCACCACCATTATCTGAATAAACCCTAGATCCAAACGATTTCTATACCCAACGATTCATGAAATAACGAATACACTAAAAACTCATTAAAAATCACCTATACAAAGAAGAACCATGCATATTCAAACCAAATCTAACCATTATCTGAAAACCCTAGATCCATAAATCGATTATACATAACTAAACCCTATTCGATTTCTATACCCTAATGATTCATTCTATCACGAATGACCACTACCACTCTTTAAACATCACCTATACAAAGAAGATCCAAGCATAATAAATAAAAACCCCCAAATTTTCTTTCGGATTTACTATTCTTACCGATTAGGGTTTGATTTCCGGCGACGCTTAGGGTTCTCCTTTGCCCAGATGATAAATAAGAGGGAGAAGAGGACGGAGCTGACGATTGAACCTTTCTTTCGCCGGAAAGCCGAGGTCGATTTCAATCGGTTGGGAAATCGCCTTTGGTCGCAGTCGAGAGAGAGAAAAGAAGAGGAGAAAAGAAAACGATCAACCCCAAAAAAAATTCTATACCCATGACACGTAGGCCGATGGACCAGCTTCAATTGTCCCGTTTTTACGAACGTTTTTTCGGTTATTGAGACATTTACATTTAAATTAAATCATGAAAAAGGTTGGGACCATGGCTGAAGACGCCGATAATCATGGTCTTATGAACAGCCTGCTTATGAATGGTTTTTTTTTTAATGTTTATGAATGGCTTATGAATGGTTTGTATTTTAATGTTTATGTTCTATGTATGTCCATAAAAACAATATTTTCATTTCATTATCAAAGAAACATTACAGACATTACCAAAGATGACAAAACTACAAACACCAAAGACACATTACAAAGAACCAATACCAAAGATGACAAAACTACAAGCACCAAAGAAACATTACAAAGACACATTACAAAGAACCAAAATACTAGTAACCAAGAAACTTCGAAGGAAACCCACGCCCACGAACTCCATTTCCACCACTTGGTTGTCCAGATTTGTAACTCATGTTTATAAGAGTGTATGAGAGATGGGGAGTTTGAGGGAGAAAGTGAAATTGATTTTCAAAGATGTAGAGTTTGATGGAGAAAGTGAAATCGATTATGAAATTAGGGTTTAGGATAGTTTGAATTGGGGATTTTCGATTTTCAATTTTCGATTTTGTTCGTTATAAACGAACCAGTGCTCAAACGACGTCGTTTTGCTCTAACGGAGAAAGATTAACGACAGACTAACGCCAGTTAATTGCTCCGTTTACAGACTTAACGACATGTTCTTTTCGGCGTGGTCAACTTTGGTTTCGTGTTTTAAACGGTAAGTCAATGTTCATATATGATGTAATGGCCTGCCTATAAGTTCATGATTTAATTGGTGTTTTTGACTCGGTTCCTGTATTAATAACATTTTTTCTGATTTAACTTTTGAGGTCATTAACAAATATAAACAGTTAGATGAGATAACCAAAACAATCTCATCCGTTAGATTAAAATGATGACATCAACAATCACAAAAGTAGGTTTGCTATTATATATTGATAGTCAATCTACTTCGGCTAAGGCTTATAGTCAAGTGTATAATGGTAAGTCGCGACACGTAGGCGTTAAACATTGTGCAATACGTGAGTTGATAACTCAGGGGGTTATTTCCATAGAGTTTAATTGGTCTCAAAAAAATCTAGCGGATCACCTGACAAAAGGATTAGCTAGAGACTTAGTGATCAAGTCGGCTAAAGGAATGGGATTGAAGTCCGTTTGAAATCTTTAATGGTGGGATACCCAATTTCCCTCTATTACGACGTTAGAGGCTTAATTCAATGCGGAAGGCCCACACTTAGAGATTGAAACACTAATTTATATGTATCATCCCAAAGTAAGAGCTTGGATCTACAAGAAAAATCTTAGGATGAAGTTTTCTTCTTAGTAGATCTTTTGAAAAAATGCATTTTTTGCAGGTGCAAGATTAAAAAGTATCCACCTATATGGGTATGAAGTGTGTAGCCGCTTCAATAATCTCAGACTTAGCTTTGTATACGCTCATGAACGGATAAGGACACATGGCTTATAATAGTGTCAAGGATAAAATTTTAGAGAAGTGTATAAATTCGTGTGTGTATTATCTTCATGAACCCAAATGAGTTGAAAGGATTCAATCCATTGAACATCCTAATTTTCTCGGGTATTTGGAATGTGTAATATTACTAAGGTGTAAATTCAATCGTCACAATATTTACATTTATGCATGAGTTTGGTTTATGTGTTTATGAAGTCGTGAATCAAAGATCACACTTCAATGGTGGAGGAATGTTGGATATTAAGTGTTAATGAAATGTGGTTATTTATCAATCACCACAACCCTTGAGTGTATGGTTATTTAATTAGCCAACACAACTCTTGAGTGAATGGTTACTATTAAATGAACGGTTACAAACGTTCGCCACACCCATTGAACATTATAAAACTCTGGCTTTTTGCATCAGAAATCGCAGAGAGAAAAAAGTGAGAAAGAGGAGAGAAACCCAAGACCAAAGGTTAAGAAAACTTTGGTGTAAACGCAAAAGCAAAACAGAAAACTCTATTTGTTTCTCTTGTATCTTAGCCTAGAACAAGAGAGGAAACTTTGATAGTCGTATCCTGCGAGGGACTTCGTGAAACCTAAGGCTAAATAAGGCTCGAAATAGTCTTTAAGGAAAGTGCTTCCGAGTATGATTCATCATTATCCAAGTTCACATTACGTTAAAATCCCGGAGATACACTGCATGAAAATAAACAAAAATCCGTCACTTAAGAGCAACGTAATCAACCATCGCGTCTATTAATTGTGAAAGGTCATGATTTTAATTTTTAAACAGTTACAATTTTTAGTCATATATACATATAAATAGATGGTTACGAACTTCCATGTTCTTAAATTTCTTCGTTCAAACTCACCATTTCATTCGTAATAACAACTGGTGAGTTTTGTTTAAACTTTGGTTGATGTTCTGTCTCTCAACGCATCGTCTTTACTTTTTTCTGAAATAGTCAAAAAGATATTGTACTTACAATACGAGTTTTATCAACCATCTGGTTTTTATTTTCCAATAGCTTAATGCACTACAACCATATAAATTATGCCAGTGATTTGAATGTTAAAGTTAACCTTTTCAATTAAATATAAACTTATATTTTTTATGATTGCTTAATATTATATTACTCATTAGGTTTTAATGGATGAAACCACTACTTTATATGACGTCAGTGTTGACAAACTTGCCAAATTCAACAACATCTTGAGTTCAATGGAGACACTGAAAACCTTTTTCATCAGTGCAATTGATTTTGTTTTAGACGTTTTAACTGAAAGCAAACAAGATGTGTTTTGTACCTTGGTGGAAGAATGGGTAGGAGTTGGAGTAGCTAATTCAATTTTTACAAATCTTATTGTTCATGCTATTGACGTTACTTCTTCTGATGTATACTCACCATCAAGCATTATCACGATCTCAGTGACTATGAACTATTGTCGATGATTATCTTTCAGTGACATTTACATGCAACAAGTACTTCAAAATTCTTTTGCATCATGGGTGATCAATCAACCTTGGCCAGCCAGTCGAGAGGCAGTCAATTCATTGCAGAGGGTGATCTTTATAGCGTCAAAAAATAACTCCGAAGAAGATAAAATAATGTGTGCTATTTACTTAGAAAAATTTGTTAATGAACAAATTCTTTTTACAAATGTCATGTGGTCATGTATTCGATGCTGAATGTATTGTTAAGTGGTTAGAATTATGTAACAAGTGT